GAGGGCTCCATCCTCCTGGATGGGATCAGTGGCCTTATAAAAGGGCTACCACCGGCAGGGGTGGGGAACCTGTGGCCTTCTAGGTCCTTAAGTGCGGCCTTTTGACTCAATCCAAATTTTACAGAACAAATCCTATCATTAAAAGGGGTGTGGCAGAGAAGAATGAAGCTTTTCTTGCTTCCTTTGGTGTTTAAAAAATAACAATCTTGAAATCAGAAGGCTGCAGGTTCCCCACCCCTGCTAGGACTCTTTCTGCATCTCCGTCCTTTCTGCCACGTGAGGACACAGTGTTAGTCCCCTCCAGAGGACACAGCAGCAAAGCGCCATCTCAGAAGCAGAAAGAGCGAGTCCTCGGCAGACATGGAATCTGCTAGTGCCTTGATATTGGACTTCCCAGCCTCCAGAACTTTAAGAAATAATTTTTTACTACTTATAAATTACCTAGTTTTCAGCACAGACTGATGAAGACATAGGGGCGATGTAGTCAGTCTTTCACCATTAAGCATGGTGTTAGCTGTGGGTAATTCATAGATTTCCTTTCTCAGATGGAGGAAGTTCTCTTCTATTCCTGGTCTGTTCAGTGTTTTTTTCATGAAAGGATGAGGGGTTTTGCCAAATGATTTTTTGAGTCTCGAGATGATCATGGGGTTTGTGTGTTAATTCTGTAAACAGGATGTATTACATTGATTTTCAAAGGTTAAACTACATTTCTGGGATAAATCCCACTTGGTCATGATGTATGAGCCTTTCAATATGTTTTTGGATTCAGCTTGCTAGCATTTTGGTGAGGATTTTTACTTCTATATTCATAGGAGATATTGGTCTGTAGTTTTCTTTTCTTGTGGTATCTTCGGTATTGGTATCAGGGTAAGACTAGCCTCAGGGAATGAGTTGGGAATTCTTTTCTATTTTTCAGAAGAGTTTCTGAGAAATTAGTATTAATTTTTCTTTAAATGTTTGGTAGAATTCTCTAGCGAAGCCACATAGGCTTGGGTTTTTGTTTGTGGGAAGCTTTTACATTACTAATTCAATTTCTTTACTTGTTAGAGGCCTACACACATTTCCTATACCATATTAATTCAGCTTTGGTAGTTTGTGTCTTTCTAGAAGTTTGTCCATTCCAGTAATTTTTTTTCACTGGTATTTGATTTATTCCCTGGTGTTACTTGCTTTCAGCCTGAAGAATTTCCTTTAGTATTTCTTATATGGCTATCAGTGAATTCATTTTTTGTTTATCTGGGAGTATCTTTATTTCACCTTCATTTTTGAGAGCTAGTTTTGCTGGATGTCAGATTCTTAGTTGACACCACTGCCTGTGGCCTCCATTATTTCCAATTAAAAATCAGTTGTTAATCTTATTGGGATTTCCTTGTACATGATGTCATTTTTCTTCTGCTGCATTCAATATTTTCTCTGTGTCTATTTTCAACATTTTGTCTATGATGTCTCTGGGCGTGGATCTCTTTGCATTTGCCCTACTTGGAGTTCATCAAATTTCTTGAATGTGTAAGTTAATGTTTTTCATCAAATTTTGGAAGTTTTCAGTCATTTAAAAAAATTTTTTCTGCTTCTTTCTCTGTGTCCTCTCATTCTGGTAGTTCTACTGTGCGTATTTCAGCGTGCTTAATGATTTTGCATGTTTCTCAGAGGCTTTGTTCATTTTTCTTCATTCTTTTTTCTCTCTGCTCTTTAGATTGCATAATTTTGACTGATCTATATTTAAGTTCACTGATTCTATCTTCTGCCAGATCAAATCCGCTATTGAGCCCTCTAATAAATTTATCATTTAAGTTTTTATACCTTCAACCTCAGAGGCTTTGTTCATTTTTCTTCATTCTTTTTTCTCTCTGCTCTTTAGATTGCATAATTTTGACTGATCTATATTCAAGTTCACTGATTCTATCTTCTGTCTTCTTCACTCTACTATTGAGTCCATGCAGCTATTTTAAAAAAATGTATTATAGTATTTTTCAGTTACACATTTTCAATCTGGTTCTTTTTTTATAACACTTACATTTCATTGTTGAGTTTTCTACTTTTTCATTTGTTGCAAGAGAATTAGTAATTGCTTGTTGAAGCTGCTTTACTGTTTTTGTCAGATAGTGTCAATAACAGATTCATCTCAGTATTGGTGTCAGTTGATTGTCTTTTATCATTCAAGTTGTGATCTTACTGGTTCTTGGTATGACTGG